AAGAGATCAATTCAGGAAAAATATGGTTTACATGTAATCAAGATTCAATTTTTAGGATATCTACATGGAGAATTTTATTGCTTTCTTCAGTTTTCTTACCTTTTTGTGATCCCAATGTCCTCCAATAACCATCTTTCTGGAATTTGCTGTCAAACGTGTAAGCAATTAGTGCTTCTTATCTTTTTATTTTCACAATTATGTGTAGGGTCTTTCTATATATATAATTTTTTTATGGGGTGTTAATTAGGGTGGATCCATTATATTTGGATGGAATTGGAGATCAATTCACTCATTACTTTTCCATAATGTCAAATTAAGTGGTAATTCTCGGATCAAATTTTAGCATTTTCCCAAGATCTAAATTTGAGCGTAACATGTCATAAAAATAAAAAATAAACTTGAATATAACTATTGAACAAAAATGGATTCAGGCCAAACAAATTGATAAGGAAAGGGAAAATTTAGAAGAAATCAGAACATGCATAGGTTATGAACAACTTGAATTTTTTTTTTTTTTAAGAAAAAAAAACTTCATACAAAGTACAAATTACAGATAAGGATGGTCCAATGATGTTAGAGGGTAGGCTGGCTCTATCTATGCATTGCAAATGATAAGAATTGACAAATAAATAAATAGGTGAGTAGTAGTTAATATCTTTAACAAAAACTAACTGATAAATGGCCCCAGTGAATAAAATTAATTATTGTTCAGTCAGCTTAAGAATGGAATTAGTGTTTTGATTAAGTGGGAGTTAATGGTGATTAAACTCAAAAGTGGAGACTAGTGAGTGGGCAATGTCATGGTTGTGATGGAAGTGAGGTGTACTTGTCCAATTTCCACCACAAAAAGATATATGAACTTTGATAGTTTCACCAAACAGTTAGTTGATGTTTGGTGATTTTTTTTATGACTTAATTTAATACTGATAATACATTATTTTCATAATAAAATATGATCGCACGTACACTCTAAAAACTCAAATTGGAACAAGTAAAAATCATGTTTTTATGATGAAATTTATATCATCTATAATTTAATATGGATGAACAAATTTAAAAAAATTTCAATAACAAATTTACGTTTTTAAAAGTTTCAGTTATGAGGTAAATTCATCTTAAATTCTACATTTGTTAAAACAAAAAAAATTAAAATTAGATCTAAACCACCTGAAATCAATTTGGATTACTTAAATTAAGATAAATATTTCATATTTTTGTTTTTAATGAGCGTGGTCCGAACCACTAGATCAATTTCAAATACTAACGTAAATGATAATTGTCAAAAAAATATGATACAGATGGATCAGACCCAAAGAGACAAAAAAAAAGGCCCATTTTATTAGTTCGTGAGGCCCAAGGAGCAATGCAGCAGATTGGGCATGGAGATCATAAAAGAAGTACACGAGATCGGAAAAATAAATAAATACCAAAAAAAAATGACAAAAAAAGAAGCTGAAAATTACTCCTCCGTCCTTTTAATATATGACCCAATTACTGAGTTGCTTTTAATCCTAAATATAAGATTTCTCATATTTATCAATTTTCTCTAAATTACCCCTATGAATACTTCCTCAACCATAATCAAGTAGAAGAGGGAAAGGAGGTGTTAAGAAAGATGATTATGGTATTTTAGGAAAAACGTGTCACATTTCTTATAATTAACTAACTTACCTGACTTTCTTAATCTAATCAAATCAGTTAAATGGGTCTTATATTAAAGACGGAAGAGTATTAAATCTCAAATTAGATTTGATAACAACACTTTATTTAGTACCAATAACACTGAATTTGTAAATGACAACAAATTTTTGTTGACACTTCTTATTTAACATTTAGTAATTTTCAGTATTTTTTTGTCATTTTATCTACCAAAAAAAGTGAGGAAGATATGCAACATGAACTCGGCAGATTATGGGAAAAAAAAATCCATTATCTTATTATTCTTTTATTGTCCCTGAATAACAAGTCCTTATGTTCATAAACCTCACCAAAGCACATAAAAACATAATGTATTAGATTGGCATTTATAATTAACTTTTTTTAAAAAAAATAATAGTTTTGACCTGACAGAAATTAGTCTTAAGTCTCAAATGACTTAAGCCTATTTTGAATTATACCAAAAGAAATATATGAAGGGTTTGTTTGTAAAATTATATATATAGGCACACACATATCAAAGCTTTGCCAAACGAATATGGGGCAGTTGAGGGAGAAAAACAGAAGAAACTGAAAGTGGTTTGAAAGGCTCAACCAATTTGGACATATGCAGTAGTGGTAGCTGTACCCACTCTCTTGCTTCAAAATAAGTCTTCGTTTTCAAAATCACGAACCAATCAAGACATTTTTCGCCAAATTTCACTTTTACTAAATTACTTAATTATAATATATATTATATGATTTGTCTAAAATATTTATATGGATCATTAGATTGTATACTAATTTATAAATAAGAAAAATTAATTTGAAGAAAAACGATAAATATAAATAGTTTAATTTAAAGTAATTTAATAACTTTCTTTATTTTTTCAAATTAATCAAATGGGTCTTACATTAAAGACTAAGCGTAGTATTACTCTCAAATTTCAAGTATATGAGCTAGTTGGAAGTTTATTTTGATATTAAATATAAAATTTTAGTCTATTTTATCTTTCACATTTATTTTTTTTTTCCCTCAAACTATCCATATTAATTATATATATTAAGATTGTTTCCATCAAGTGACATTTCTAAATTCAAACACAAACGATTAAATACGATATTGTAAGAAAAAAACCAACACACATTTTTAACAAACGAGTACCTTAATTATTTTTTTAATTTATATAAATTTGTTGTATAATTAGGGACCAGAAGAAATAATTTTTTCAGAAGAAAAATGAGACCATATTTACCAAGGTTACATGCCAAATATAACCGTAAGAGCACCCAACTAATTCCGATTAGGTTTTGATTAACTAATACTACCCCCAGTCCTATTTATAAGAAAACGAGGTCTCATAGTTAGAATTGGAGATAGTAATATGTACGACCTGAAGGGATTGGTTCAGTTAAAAGAATATATTATGTAGCGTCATATACTTCTTACATTGTTAATTTGGGTTTTACTTTTTTCCCTGAAATTATGTATGAATATAATATTCTGAGAATACTATATTGAAGAACGGTTATTTTTATGATTTTTTTTTAAAGGAAAAACTATCCGAATAAAGCTTCAGAATTTTCCTAATTCTACGTGAAAAATCATTAGGAGTTATCCAAATTCACTGTTTTAGTCTTTTAGATACAAGAAGGCTCTCCCAAATTGAACATGAAGAGCCGAAAATTGGAAATTTTAATACTACCTCCGGTGCTAATTATAACAGCTAGTTGATTAATTTGAGAAGATTAAGGAAGTAAGTTGAGTTAGTTATTTGTCCTAAATAGGTGTTGTCTTTCTTAAAATATCCTTACTAATCAAGTGTATTAACTAGAACTATAATTATTAGAAAGATTATCTTGAAAAAAATTAAATAAATATGAGAGACAAAATGAATTAGGGTCTTATATTTAGAATTAAAATAAAAATTAAATAAAATTTTATATTAAGAACTGGAGGTGATATTATGGCTGCGGCCATTAATTACAGTGGATGGTCAACTGGTCATGTCCTGATGGGCCAATATATGGTGGTTCTGTAATTCTGTTTGCTTTGGCCCACGAGTTTTAATCATCCTTTTTGTTTTTTATGGTAAGCATTTTTAATTTTCCAATTCCATTAAAGAAAGGAAAAATCCCATAAAATTACAACTTGAATTTTAAAATCTCAAATAAAAAATTATTATAAAATTATATTTTCATTTATGGTTCAAGTGTAATCAATTATTATTAAAGTGTAAAAAATAAGATTTATTTAAAATTTTAAAATTCAAATGGTATTTTTTAAAGAATTTTTTCTTAAAGAAACCATTATATATAGAGGAAAAACGCTCACACAGAAACACCCGTCCACCTCAAGAATCACATCTAAGACACGACGGAACATTAAATATGAGTACATTTTCCAACTAAAATTTAAATTTAAGTTTGTTATTGTAAGAAATTCACTTCCTTTGCTGGATCCAACTGTTCATTGAGTATATATTCCAAACACGTGGCGCTTTCCATGCTTCCAAACTTACAAATGCTGGCCACATTAGCAATTTTTAAATGACGTTGACTAGTTTGGCTCATTCAAGGGACCGGTAATTTTGGTGAACTACTGAGAATAACCCATACAAGGTTTTACAGTTTAACATTAAATTTGGGAAAGACATTACAAATTTTTATTCTTAGGCCTGCATTTGATTTCAGGCTCAATCTAAAAACAAATAAAAAAAGAAAAAATTGCAAAAAAGACCGTGAAATTAGAAAAATTACACATAGAAGCCGGTTAACAAAATTGTTATCAAAACTCACGCTAATACTGTCATGGGTCCTAATTTGCAATTTCTCTAATTTTATGGTCTTTTTTTGCAATTTTTCTAATAAAAAATTCTGCTAAGAAAATTATGAATAATACAGATAATTTTTTTAAAAAAAATTTGTGGGATGTACGATTTTCAAAATAACCCAATTATATTGACAGTGTTTTTGAAGTCCAAAAAAAAAAAATCAACATCTTTGATGTGCCCCCACCCACTACTCTACTGCTTTTTTGTTTTATCTTGACCAATTATATGCCATAAATCAAACCAAACTTCCATTAACGAGTCCTTTAAAAGGACCAAAGCGTCAATAAAGTGATTCAATTTGAAAGCCCTAAACCTGTGACTTCCTCACTTTTTTTCACTTTGCCTCCAACTTTCTTTTTCAATACCCTCACTGGTCACTACCCTCTCTTCACTTCATCTTCAATCTTCATTCATCCATTATTATTCATTCACACATCTCACAACAAAACATCCACATCCTTCAGTTACATCACATCCACTTGGGTTTTTTTCTTCTCTCTCTACCACCCCTTCATTTTCTTCTCATTTTTCCCCTCTTTTCTCTCCATCCAAACATGTCCTTCTTCAGCACCACACACTTCTTCACCATCATCTTCTTCCTGGTACTCCTTACTTTTCCAGGCACAGCAAGGACCGACCAGACATGCCCGTATCCATGCTACCCACCTCCCATTGGCGGCGGCGGCGGCGGCAATACTCCGACAGCTACCACGGTGACCCCAGCACTGCCACAGACCGGAGGCGGAACAGTATACTCACCACCAACTGGGTATAATAACTACCCCTATTATAACCAACCACCACCGTATGGCTTCGGCGGTGGCGGCGGCAGTGGATATTATGGTGCCCCACCGCCTCCGGAGCCGATTCTGCCATACTTCCCGTTCTATTACAGAAAGCCACCGCATGGGACAGGTGCCTATCCGTCTTCATCGTCTGAATCTTCAGCGTCGTCGTCGGCCGCGGGAGCAGAGAAATGGACAGCAGCAGTATCAGTTTCAGCTTCAGCTCTTTGCTTAGTCCTTTTTGTTTAGTATATTAAAGTGAGAATCTTTAATGTTAATGTTCAAAAATCTTGTTTGAACCGCTCACATTGTGAGAATTATTAATGATTAGTGATGATATGTATCCTCTGTAGTTGATGATGATTTGGTTTTCAGTGATTTTTCAAACTTCTTCTGTGTTTGCGGTACTGATTTTTTTCGATCTTGCCTTTGCAAGTTAGGAAAGGGTGTGTGTTGTTTAAATTATATTGGATGAATTATACTATTTTTTAATATTATTGGAAAATTGTTTCTTTGAATATAACTAATTTTCGGACCAAAACAGATAATTTATTTAATTTTCAAATAATATTTAATTTGACTGAGTGTATTGTTAGGGGAAAAAACTACATCGTCTGTCTCGGAGTAGGTGAGTATCTGAATAATATTCTTCGTATTAGGTCAGATTTGAAAGTTTGTGAGAATATTCGTCATAGGAATAAAGAAATAATATAATATTTATTTAAAAATAAAAATAAGTATTACTAAAATAATATTGTAAAGTCCTTATTAATTCAAATCGTAACAAAAGTATACTGTAGTTATAGTATATTAATGTATTTCCAAGGTCTCCTTCAATTCGTAATTCTTTCTTTTTTATTTTTCTTCATATTGTATAATTTTTTAAAACTGATTTAGTGCCGCAACTTGGATTATATTTTAGTACATAATATATATATTTATATATAGCCAATACAACCTAATATTTTCCTCTCTTCCAATTCTTCTTACATATTTTTTTTTGGCCAAAATTCTTACATATATTATCAAATAGTAATTACATAATACGATAATTACCCACCTCTTGTATATGCATGTTACCAATCTGCATCTCACAAAAAATATGAATAATATGTTAATAGCTAGTTGTTCTAATGACAACACCACTCGTCACTTCAATGAAGTTCTAAGTTTAAGATTGACATTGACATATTTGCTTGTGTGAGTGTGTTTAATTGTAATATAAAAAAATAAACAATGGGTTATACAAATACTTTATTAATATAATATATTTAAAAATAAAAAATGGTTATTAATAAATTAATATTGTAAAATGTTTCTAATTTCATCGCAGGTGTATTTATCTTGACTGCAAAAAAAAATATCAAGAACTTGAGCTCTGTAACTTGATAATATTAACATTTTAACTTTACATTAAAAAATACTGAAACAAATTCATTATTAACAATTATTTCATTTTGTTAGTTTTATGTCAGGACAAGGTTAAAAAAAAAAAAAGGTCTTTTGCAGAAGGATTCTCTAATTAAAGGATATCCTCGAAAAGAGAGGGCATGGTGGTCCCACATATATGTGCGTGGAATGCTGAGAAAAGAAAAGAATTGAGTAATTAAAAAATTACACAAAAATAAAAATAAAAAATAGTGAAGATGACCCACAAAATTTAACGTGGAAAAGGAGGAAAATTCATGGGTGATGAACAAAATTTTTTTACTATATGTATAAAATATATAAAGAGTTTACAATCATAATCTCATCTCCTATGGAGAGATTGGGTGTATATAAAGCTTTTAAAAAAACTAAATTATTATATTGGTTAATAAATAGTATTTCTTAAAAATATCAATTATAAATATGATGGAAAATTGATCGATTTTAAATCAAGATAACAAATAAAAATAATGTCAGTAAATTTTAAAAATTTGAGTCATCATTTTAAGTGAGCGTGGGATGAGCCAAAAGATAATCCAAAGACAGGCTGCCATATGCGCGGTGGCTTGATGCGCAGAGAGGAACCTTTCATAGAAGAAATATCATTAAAAAAATATTTTAAATTAAAAAAACAGAATAATGTTTTAAAAGTATTTTAAATTTAAAATGTTTAATATAAATATTTTTAACTATATATATGATTTAAGGAAAAACTGCAAATAAAGGCAGTGGAATATGAAAAATTACAGATAGAGACCAGTTACAATATTATTATGGATTTTGACAATAATAATATAGGTTTTAATAATAATTTTGTGAATGAGTATTTGTTTATAATTTTTTAAATTTTATGATCTTTATTTACAATTTTTTATAATTTAAAGTACAAATTATAAAAGGTGACATTGTGGTCGCTGCTCAATGTTGAGCGTCTCAAGGATCACACAAATTGAGAATGAGTTCACCTGTTATCAATTTAGGGAGGTTAATAAGAATGTGAAAAGAAATCTTAATAAAATATGTTTATAAATGTTTTTGAATACCGTCTCAAACAAGGCAAATAAAATGGCAATCATGATTTCCCATTTATTTATCTTCTTCTTTGATTTGATTGGGGAAATCAAAATAAATAAAATTTGAAATTATTCCTTTTTTTAAAGATATATAAAAAAGAATAAATGAAAACGTGAATACATATATATAAATATATATAAACTATGAAACTCTTTGTTCAAACTTCAAACTTTCTCTTCATTCCAAAAAATTACTCCTTCCGTTTCTTATTATAAGAGACATTTGATATTTATAGCATGTTCCTAAATATAAGAGACACTTAAAAGTTGTCTCTACTTTTTTGTGTTGATTTCCTATTTTACCCATATTTATTGTCTTCAACTCACACTCTCTCTCCTTCCCACTTCTCTTTCTTTTAAGAATTTACTATTGTTTTCTCTTATACTCTCTCCTTATTAATGCGGGTTTTTTGGAAAAAAAAATATACTTTTTACACATTCATTGTTCTTAACTAATTTTAACTGTTTTTTTTATCTCTTATAATAAGGAACGGAGGGAGTATTGTATACTAAATTTTTGTACCATGTTTCAAAACATAATGATGACAGCTATATAAAATATGAATTTGTCCAATTTAACCGATCCTCTTGTTTGATCCTCCTGCCCAACCTTGTGCAGCGCTATTATCTTTTTAGTTTATTGTGCATGTTTGCCACAACTAATTAATGGCTCCTCATTTTTCTTTTTTTCTTTTTTTATTTTTTTAAGTTTCACTTTTTTTTTCAACTCTCAACAGTACATTTCTTGTTTTGTCACATATTCCTAATCTATTGTCGTCTATTGTCACCTATCCAAAACCTTTCTGCTGTGTAATAATTTTGCCCCCCATATGGTATTAATTAGTTATATATGCTCTATATGTCTTTGTTAGGCACTAACACTTTAAAATAGGACTGTTAAAGACGGGACGGGATCGGGATGGGCTTCTTTCACACTTTGCAGATGAGAGAACAGCCGAGAGCGGAGACTGAGAGGTGACTGGCAAGAGCTTCAGCTTTCAGTGAGAGTGCAAAACACGATTCACTACTTTCGTCAACCGTTGCTGTCTGAATGGAACGAAAGTGAAAAACTGGAGGTTGGAGAGAGGCAGAGACTTAGGGCTTCATATTTTATTTGTTTTTTACTTTTTAACATTTAATAATAATATATAACTCATAATATAATATAAAATTTTTCTTTTTTTAAGTTTCATGTTTTTTTTTCAACTCTCAACAGTACATTTCTTGTTTTGTCACATATTCCTAATCTATCGTTGTCTATTGTCACCTGTCTAAAACCTTTCTGCTATGTAATAATTTTGCCCCCCATATGACGTTAATTATTTATACACGCTCTATCTGTCTTTTTTAGGTACTAGCATTGATCAATGATTAGAGAATGAGGTTAGATCATCCAATGGACTGAAAAACTTTTTTTATGGTTTCAACTAAGCTGGACTGAAATTGGGTGATCATTAAGTCAAAAATTATAATAAGACCGAGAAACAAAATAATTACAAAAAAAAATGGAACTATTTTGGGCTTGATAAAAAAATATTGAGAAAAAATTAAAAAGAAAACCTATAAAAAATAATTGTTCCCTTACAAATCCTAATATATTTCCGGACTCTTTATAATTATATGGTATTATTTCATCGAAAACTTCAGGGTTGGATATAAATTTGTTTCTCGTGTGTATTACTATTATATGCATATAATTATTTTTTATTAATTTTTTAATTTAATTAACTAACTAATTTAACTAATTTATTCCGGTGGAATTCAAGAAGCAATTTGGACTTTGTTTTACTTTCTTTTTCTGTCTCTAACTTGAGTTGAATTTTTTTTGTGTTTTGCTTTCATGCTCATCTTTTCTAGACCATTCATATTTGATCTAGATGGTCGAAATTTATTTTTTAATAATTATATAATTTAAAATAAAAATAATTTATGACTTTTTTAAAAAATAATTGTTTTATTTAAAAATAATTAATAAAAAATATTAAATCTAAACCATGTGGATCAAATCTAGACGCTCGAGAGGAGATGATCATAAAGAGCACCCAAACTAATTTCAATATTTAATTATCCAAACCTCTAAATATTATAATGGAATTAGGACTTATCTAATCGCAGCAATTAAAGATAAACAAATAAATACTATCTACCGTTCTTAATATAAGAGTTCATTTAATTTTTATTTTGGTCCTAAATATAAGACTTTAATATATTCTGTCTCTTATATTTGTCTATTTTTTTTCAAAATAGTCCTTACAATAATAGTAGTTTTAATCAATACATTTGATTATTAAGGATATTTTAAAAAAATAATACTTATTTATTACAAATAACTAATTTAACTAATTTTTTTTAATCTACTTATAACTAATTTTTATGTTTAGCTCCGAAAATAGTGTTACAAGGGACAAGTACCGTCCTCGGGAGCACAACAAACACTCTGTTAAAGGAACTTCCCCAAATTAAATCATGAAATCAGAATTTAAAATCGTATCAAACTAATATATTCTGGAAAACTGTAGTATAGTACAATGAAACAGAGGAAAATTAAAAGTAGTTGACTAATTAGAAAAATAAAGATATATATGAATAAATGAAAGAAAATTATACTTTTTTTTTTGTGAAACAAATTATACTTTGTTCTGGACACAACTAAAACTTTAATCTACTATGATAGAGGGGGGGAAGCAACAATCTTGATTACTGGAAAATACAATTACTATCGATTAGAATAATCGCTATCTGGAGCTATCAATCTCTTTTTGGATGACTGAAAAAAGAAAGAAAGAGAGCTTAGAGGAGTATTTATTTTTTCAAAAGAGATAATAAATAAGAAATTCTACTATCATTAATGCTAAGAGTTAGATCATAGTTGAATTTTGTTTTAAACATAAGACTTTAATTTATTCTATGACTTAAATTTATAACTTTTTTCCTAAGGCATTCATATCAATTCTACCTGTTAAGAGGTTCTCATGAAAGATAATTCAAGTATATAATTAAATAGAATAGTTCAGAAAAATAAACATATATTTACTATAAATAATCAACTCAACTATTTTTTTTAATATTTCTAAATTAATTACTCTGAAGAGCTCTAAACCTAACCATAGCTTTTGGCTCAAGATTAAAACCTGACATAGCCATCATAGTGTCACCTGAAGTGTATAAGCAAGATAAAAGATATATGCTCTTCTAACCCTAAAAAACTAACACCAACTTGTACCAATTTTTCCTGTCATAGCCTCCATAAGAATAAACTTTGATTTCAACGTTTTTCCGCCCAAACTAATAATAAATAATCACCTAAAGGAACCCATCTTTCGTCCCCAGTCAGCTCAGCAACCTTCCCTTGACATTCAGAAAACCTCCCAGTCCCACCGTGCCAAAATCCAAGTCATAGGATTAACAATAGAAATTAGCCTATAAAAACAATTACTCATCCGATCCTTAATATAAAACCTATTTAACTAATTTAATTAAATTAAAAAAGTTATGTCAGTTAGTTAATTATAAGAAATATGACACGTTTTTCCTAAAATGCTATAATCATCTTTCTTAATACTCTCTCTTCCTCTTCTACTTGATTATGGTTGAGGGAGTATCTATACAAGTAATTTAGAGAAAATTGATAAATATGAAAAATAAGTGTTATGATTAAGACCAAAACTAACTCAACAATTGGGTCCTATATTAAGAACCGGAAGAGTATCTTATGATCTAATGAGATTAGTAGGAAAGCTTTCTTGTAAGTAATAGATTACGGGTTTAGTTCCACTTGTAGAGACATATAAGGCTAGACCATTAAAAACAAGGGAGCTAATCGGCATGGAAGGATACTAAAGAATGAGAATAAGAAGTATAATTCAATATCATTAATTAGTCAAAACTTAAGTAAAACCTAATTAGTAAATGGGTAACAAAGTAATTATTATCAAATTTATAGGAAGGTGATTTAAGGTTTACTTGTTAGTTTAAGTTAAGAAAATAATTAATTTATAGATTATTTAAAAATTTAATAAAAGAATAATTTCTTTAAAATTTTCTGGTGATATAATTTATTTAAAACTTTTTATAAAAAGTAAAAATTATTTTAGACTTGGTTTCCATGAGATGATTTGTTGTTTGGTATTTTTTAAGTTTTAAATTTTATGGCATCTATTTGTACTTCGATATTTTTATTAATATTCTCTCTTATTCCAATGTATAACATCTGATTTAATATAATTGTTTTTTCAAAAACTACTATTAAGAGATTATTTCAATAATTAGAAATCCGTTAGAAATATGAAAATTCTACTTCTGCCATTAATTTATTTGGGTTTATTTGGGTTAACTCAAAGCTTTGGCCTATGTGTATTCGAAAGTTTTTTCAAACAATATTGTCTCGGAAATTTACAAAATGTAGCAATATTGCCCTGCCAGAGGTGGTAAGTTTTCGATCTTAGGCCCACGATGCCATGCTTGGGAAGTGTGATAGGGCAAATGATGAGAGAGGGAGGAGGAATAAAAGCATCTGATACGTCAATGACTTGGGGGTGTTTGGATACTCTGAAAAGTATTTCTCAAAAATACTTTTTTGTAAATCGAGATAAACTTCTCCACATATTTATCTCATAGACCGTGAAATCACTTATGAAATTATGGTTTAGTTTCCATCCAAACACCTCCTTAGATCATGAGTGTCACTTACAAACGTCCAACAAATTGAGTAAATTTAACTAGTCTCTCCACCTCCTTTTCTCTTTATTTTCATAAACTTTCTATCTTAATTATTAAGGCTGTCCAAATTTCATGCTTTTAAAAATAATTTTACAAAATATTTTTTATTATTGTTTTAAATTATACTTTTTTGAGTAAAAAATTGTTTTGTTTTGAATTATACAGACTAAAATTTAATTTAATTTATTTATTTTTGAAGATTTAAGATTTTATTTATAATTTTATAAATATGACATTTAAACTGTTAAAATCTTAACCTTAAAATAAGAAGTGGACAAAAATAAAAAAAGAAGTAGAGGGTGACATTGCTATATTACTCCTCCGGTCCTTAATATAAGACCCATTTAACTAATTTGATTAGATTAAGAAAGTTAAGTAAGTTAATTAATTATAAGAAAAGTGACACATTTTTCCTAAAACACCATAATCATCTTTCTTAATACCCCTCTCTCTCTTCTACTTGATTATGATTTAGAGAATATCTATAGGGGTAATTTAGAGAAAATTGATAAATATGAGAAATGAGTCTTATATTTAGGACCAAAACCAACTCAAGAATTATGTCTTATATTAAGGACAGGAGGAGTAGTATATTTTGTATCCTTTAGGAAATTGTTTAAAAAAACTTTAGATACACGTTGCAAAAATTTTCAGGGCAAAAATCTTAACCCTAAATTATTCTGAGAACCGTTTTTGGCGGAAAAAAAATTGAGAAACGTGTTATAGATTAGCGGCCGTTTCACCGTGTTAGGTCATTCATCGATCTGGACGGCGAAGGGCAGAAATACTGGCGTCGCAGTGGAACGAAGCCTGTTTTTCTGATTTGGTTCCATCTGTATTTTGGCTACCTTCGACGGTTTCTTCTTCTGAGTTTTCTCGATCGTAACAGTCAATCAGTCAGCAATGGAAGGTAAATCGGTAACCACACCAGTTATGGCTTCGCTCGCATTCGGAGTTTTCCTTCTTTAAAAAAGTAACTTTTCGAAATGTGGAAATGGGTTATTCAATCGGCCATGTTGTGCATTTTTGCTTGGGTAGGTTCACTGATTGCAAAGGAAAGCTAGTAACATATATTCTCTGCTTTCTTCGTTCTTTGTTGTTTCGGTTTCCTTTCTTTTAGTTCTTAGTTATAATTGGTGATTCTGGTTACTCTCCTATTGCTCAAGATATTGGTAAGAACTTGCTGACTTGCTGTAGCTGCATTTATCTAGCTATGATGAATGCATTGTCTTGGGTCATGAGCTGGGAAAATTAAAAAATAATGATCCTGTCGGTTTTTTCTTTGTTGCGTTTTCTATGAATCTGTGAGAAATCTATTACTGATGAATTTAACTGGCATAATGATGTGTTACAAACTTACATCAGCAGGTCAAATATAAATCTTGATTCAGCTGTCAGGTTACAAAATGAATTCTGTAACATGTATAAGGTCAAGTTGGTGGATGAGCTCATCTGATTGACTTATGATGTGTCGTATCCAATCCAGTAATTAGTGGAATCGATGAATTAGATAGTCTAATTTCTGTATTTCAATGTATTGGAAGGTTTTGCCATCCTGTGTTCGTTTAAATATAGAGGCCTTTCTATTGATCATAACTTATAACATAGGCCCTGTAATTGCCTACCCCTTTGTGGTATAAAAGAGGTAATAATTTTATCAGAACTAAGTTTTTGTGATTCTTAGGGTAAAAGCTAATACTAAATTATAATATGCTAACCTTTTTTCCCCTTCTAATCTGACTATGCTACCCTTATGCTTACTTAATACCTTAATACCTTTGAAGAAATTAGGGAGATGGATCCGTTGTTAAATCTTCCTGCTTCCTCAGTCTGTTTAGGGTTTATGGGATTTGAATAGAAATATCCTCTATGAGTATATTCATGATTTTATTCTAGGTTATAACCTAAGTCATGCTTCAGCACTCGTAAAATAATCTATTTTTGTGAATGCAAATATGGGCATATGATGGTTTTACACTTGATCTCTGAACTGCAGGTAAGTTCATATGTTGACAAGTTTATCTACTGATGCCCTCTCTGTTTGCACCAATAATAGAAGCAGAAAAGTGTCAACAAAGTGGGGAGACTGTCATAACTAGTTGGTTACTGCTGTTAAGTTTGGAAACTGTTGACATAGTTGTGACTATATATTATTCTTCTATTTCATCTAAAACTTCCTTTATGATTGAGAAAGAGGGTTTTTAAAGAGGAAAGGTTCTTCATTTCGTTTTACTTGTAATCGCGATAAAATGAAGCTATCTGCTTATTTCAGTTTCACTGTTTGATATCTGTTAACTGCTTGGCTAAAGAAAGTAGACATTTATTTTTCCTTCAATCCTTTTCTCCTTTTCGTGTAGCACTTCTGAATGTTTTTAGTGGGTTCCCGGGTCAGATTCTTATTCAATGAAAATGATAGTGTGTCTCTACTTTAGTTGTTTGGTGTATTTGAATTGTACTATGCATTTTTATTTTTTGCTTCATTTTGGGTTCATGCATTGATGACATTCGTTTGGTTAGGATCTCAGAAAACAGCTGTATTGAAAATCTGGAAGCCTGAAATATTCTTAAATAAATTATACACTTGAGGCACTACTGGTTACCGGATAGTTGTATTGGAGAAAAAGGTTTCCAAAAGCTTTTTGGGTTACTAAATTTCTTGAAAACTTCTGTTTTTTCTTGTGTACTTTCTTCATGGTAACTTCTGACATTTCTGTGTATTGAATTGTGACTTTTCTGGCTTACTATATAGCTAAGTCGACTGGCTGGATGAGATGACCATGTCCTGATTGATTTTGTTATTACGCTTCTAAGCTCTTGTCCTCGGCTGCCGTTGACACTCTTTGTTAGGAACTTATAGATGGATAAACCATGGATTCTTCTGACTAGCCATAAAAAAAAACCATCAATCGCTTCTTTTTTCATAGATTAACAATAAACATGCTAGCATTTAACATATTTGTTAACAGGGGTCATTCACAATGAGGCTGCATTTCACCATCCTGTATGTGAAATGACTGCGTGATCAAAGAAAAATTGCACAATGCCAGAGACAATTCAAGGGTGGAGCTTGGCCTAAATAAAGTTTTGCCATTCACAGCAGGTTATAACATCCCAGAGTGCAATCCGATAAAACATGTGGGTTTCCATCATTTCTGTGGCGCATTATGTCATAGGTGATAACCTTCCGAAGTTGGCACTACACTGAAACATATGCATGTTTTCACCCTTCTGGTGCTTGTCAGTTGCTGTTTCTACCTCCCTCACTCTCGGCACTTCAACTCTCCATCCGTTGCTCTCGCCGGCATCTCCGTCCGACGCTCTCGCCAACTCTTCTCCCTCCATCACTGTTGCGATAACATATGTCAAAAACAGATCTCCCTTTCTCTTCTTCCCTCTGGCCACTCTCCTCCCTTTGTCATTGTCGCCAGCGCATTGGGTCTTCTTGCAGCCGGAACACTTGAAAAAGGCTCCCTTTCTTCTTCTGTGGTGTGGCAGGAGTTTGTTCAGTCTGTGTTGCCTCCCTTTATCCAATCCAGATCGGTGCTGTCCTCCTTGTCTCTTCTTCTGTCCGTGTGGCCGCCGGTGTTCCTGATTCTGCAACATTGCTCAACCGTGGTGTGCTGTGAAGTGTTGGAATATAGGTACGTAGTTGGATAACTAGATCTGGACCTCTGTTCTTTGATTGATCGATTTCCCTTCTGGCTGTCTGTGACTCTGTTAATGACTCTGGCTGTATGATCAATTTGTGGATCTGACTGTCTGTGACTGTGTTAATGAACTACCATTTGCGTTTCCAGAGCGATGGCATCTTATGTTTGGAAATCTGTTGATTTATGGAGCAAATGACCTTTGTTCTTTGCACTTCAGCGAGAGTTGTATGTCCGGTTTCGCTGAGTATATCAGTGATAGTATATCACCTTCCCTTTGATGATATACTATCAATGGTTTCATCATATGTCCGGTTGCACAAAAAACTCTGTTCCAATCAGTTTCTTGTCATTTTGAAAAGCAGAATTACATATATGGTTTCGCTGAGTGACATTTTCAAATTCTTCTTGTTTAGCTTAGAATGGGAAATGAAGAATTACAATGGATTGTCTAGTGGTTATGACACTTGTGCATATATTCAAGCAGCACCACCTATTCTGCCATTTTAAAAGATTTCCAATGCCCTTCTTTTTTCTTTTTATTGGTAATTTGATCTCTTCCATTAAAAACATTATTGGATCGGCCTCTTGCTTCATTGCCTTGTTTTAATGAATTTAGGCTAGAGAAAGAGGTCTGTAACTTGAGAGTAAGGCCCCATTTTTATTTATCTGCCCCAGCCCTGTTATCGTCATTGTGCTCCTATTACAAAATACAAGGAAAATGGGAGCTGAAGGTCTGTAGTCATACCGTACTATGAGGATCGGGGAACATAATTTATGGGAGGAAGAATATTGCAATTCTTGTGTTTTGTATAGTTTATTTATTATCAGCTTTTGGTCTTTGAAATTGAAGGGGACTCCTTAGCTGGTACACTGTGGTGTAATTTTTTCTTCTCATTTTCCTCGTTTTAATGTACGAGATTTTTCTGGGCAAATGTAAGTTGATCACAGAATAATTTTTATGCATTTCTGATTGAAAAAAATTCCCATTTAAAAACACTTAAAATAAAAGTATTTTTCGTATAAAAAAATTATTTCTATCTTTTAAAACTAAAAGGATACGGTGAATATATTCTGCTGATTACTCTCAATAGTTTTGATATTAATTTTGTTTGTTTGAATTCACTTTTGGTGATAAATTGATTAACATGTTTGTGGGTTTATACTGTTTGATTATACTGCATGATTCTAGACTAATTTTGAGTTTGATACATATGTAATTTCAAACTATGCGTAACGATAAAGGCAAAGTACATTGGGATGTGAACACCACAAGTGTTTTTCTCAAAGTATGTGTTGACCATATTTATAGCAAACATCGTTAAGAATCTTCGTTTACAAAGCAAAGTTGGGACAACATTCACAAAGCATTCAATGAAAAGACAGGGAGAGAATATGAAAAACAAACAGCTAAAAAATAGGTTAGATAACTTGAGGGAAGAATAGAAGGCATTTGAGTCACTAATTGCTAAGGAGACTAGTATAAGGTGGGACCTTGAAAGAAACACAGTGGTGGCATATGATTAGTGGTGGGAGAGGAAAAAACGGTATGAACTATCTTGTGTTAATTTATAAGTAGTATTATACTTTTGGAAGTGATTTAACTTTGGTTTACTTTTGACTTTACAGGAAAATCCAGCATATGAAAAGTTCAAGCACCATGGGCTAAGGTTTCGAACTGATTAGAAACTGTATTCAAGGACACTATGGCATCAGGAGAGGATATGTGGGCACCATCTTGGACCCAGCCTGAGTCACAGAGGGTTGATCAGTCAAATGACTACCAACCAACAATGGATTGGGAAGAAGGTTTAGGGGATAGTGAAGACGGGCTTTTAGGTGTTGATATTGGATGCTGTGTAGGAGTTTTGGACGATTTGGATGGCATCAATTTAACTGCAAACACATCGAACACTACACTCATTGTACCTAGTGGTTTAGAAAGTCAAGGGATGAGGAAGAGAGGTGAAGGGTTGGATAAGTACAAGAAGCAAGAAATGCTAGCAACAAAAAGAATAACAGATGCAGTAAGTTCGATTGCTACTGCTTCAAAGGAAATAGCAAAGGCAATAAACAAAATGTCTAATAGTGATATCACTACTGAACTTACCACTGATCTGCTGAGTATGGAGGAAATTGCCAGTGACACTCATCTTTGTGTCATCTGTTGTAATCTTTTGGCAAACAAGACTTTCAGAGACATATATGCTGGCCTGAGAGGAAATCGTGAGGTATTAGTAGCTTGGTTGAAGTACAATGCTAAAAACCCACCGCCGTACGCTGCACCCAAGAATCCTTGAGTGCTATTGAGTGACTTATTATGACTTATGTTTTTTTACCTTAATGTGTTTGGTTACTATGTGTTGTGACGATATGTTTAATGATTATGGGTGTTTAATGATTATGTTTAATATTGTGTTTCATGACTATGTTTAATTATTATGTTAAAGTTTAATGACTATTTGTGTATTGTCTTTTCTTTTTTTGTGAAAATATTACTCACATTTAGTATTTAACCACTTACAAGTAACATAATCCATATCTGATTCAACAGAGGGTTGGGGTGATTGTTGGGATGAACGGTTTCAATTACTTTTTGCTTTATATGAACACAACACAATTATTAGAGCTAAGTGTGTTAATGGGTTAGTATGTGACACTTTTTCTGTGCAAATAGCTATGCAGAACGAGTGAATAAACAGGTTATTTATGGGTACAAGAACTTTTGCACGGGCATGAAGGACGATCTAAGAATATGTTTTGAATAGAAACAGACATTCCATTGGTTATGCTCTAAATTGGTTGAATATGGGTTACAAAATTCTCAGTACATAGGTGTTCATGAATTTATTGTCATGTTGTTAAATACAATTGCGCATGGCCAGTGTAATAGGATGATTCAAAAAAGGTTTCAGTGTTTAGAAGAAATTGTCAGTCAGCATTTTCATAGAGTGTTGGATGCTTGCCTCAATTTATCTCGAGAAAATATCAAGCTAATTGATCTTGTATTTTCCTATTGTCACCAAAAAATAGCAAATGATCTATGGTATTTTTTTTTTTTAAAAGATACAATTGGAGCAATTGATTGTACGCATATAAACTATAAAGTTAGTTGACTAGGTAAGACGAATATTTTGGGAGGAAGGGATTTCTTGGTTAAAATGTCATGGCCGTACGGGATTGTAATATGTGCTTCACGTTCATGTTGGTGAGCTAGGAAGGTAGTGCACATGATGCTCGTGTCTTTTATTTTGCTATCTCAACTCTATCCATCAATTTCCCTCTTCCACCTGAAGGTATATTTTTTTAAATTTCAAATCAATTATTTTAAAATTCTGCTTCAATTGCATTATTTTCACCTCAACATAATTGAGTCATGATTTTCTAAGCAAATATTATTTGGTTGATGTTGGTTATTCATCACAAGTGGAATACCTTGGCCCGTACAAACGTGAGTGCTATCACTTTCCCGACTTTAATCGTCACTCAGGATTTAGAAATGAGAATGACGCTTTCAATTATTATCATTTAAGTTTGAGATGCATTATTGAACGAACTTTGAGGTTTGGAAGAATAAGTTTGCAATCTCTAGAATACGCCCAAATTCAAGTTTCAAACACAGGTCCGCATAGTTTGTGCAACAATGGTTGTCCATAATTTTATCAGGCAAAATTCTCCAAGTGATGATCACTTTATAAAAGCTGAACATGGAAGTGTAATAGATGAAGACAGTAATCATGTGGCTGGTGAGGCTTCCTCCTCAAGTTTGACATCTGCAGCACAGATTAATCGTGTTTGTGACTCGATTAGACACTAAATTATGCACAGCTTACGATCTAATTAGTTAGTGATTTTATTTACTTTAATTAGAGATTAAAAATTTACATTCATGTTTGTCCATTGTATATATTTAATTAATTATCTACAATGTGTTTTCAAAATTTTTTCAGTAACAAATATTTTTATTTTATAATTTCACAAATAAACTATTTTTATTTTATCATAATAATTTTAGGTATTTTTTTAATTATTATCACATCAAAAACATAAAATATCAAACACTATTATTCAATAAAGTCCATGTCCGTTTCAGTCATTTTACAATGCTAAAAACCCGTATTCAAGGATACTATAGCATCAGAAAGGATATGTGAGCACTATCTTGGACCCAGCCTAAGCCACAGAGGGTTGATAAGCCAAATGACTATCAATCAACAATGGATTGGGAAAAAAGGTTTAGGGGATAGTGAAGACAGGCTTTTAGGTGTTGACACTGGACGTTGTACAGGAGTGTTCGGACAATTTGGACGGCATTAATTTAACTGCAAACACATCGAATACTACACCCACTGTACCTAGTGGTTCAGAAAGTCAAGGGAGGAGGAAAGAGGTGAAGGGGTGGATAAGTGCAAGAAGCAAAAAATGCCAGCAACAAAAAGAATAGCAGATGCAATAAGTTCGATTGCTACTGCTTCAAAGGATATAGCAGAGGCAATAAACAAAATGTCCAATAGTGATATCACTACTGAGCTTACCATTAATCTGCTGAGTATGGAGGATACTGAATTATCTTTTCTTTTTTTGTGAAAATATTACTATGTTTACTATTGTGTTTTTTATGACTATGTTTAATTATTATGTTAAAGTTTAATGATTATTTGTGTATTATCTTTTTTTTTGGGTGAAAATATTACTCATATTTAGTATTTAACCACTTATAGGTAATATAATCCATGTTTGATTCAGCAGAGGGTTGGGGTGAGAGTTGGGATGATAATGGGGGAGATGAACGGTCTCAATTACTTCTTACTTTACATGAACACAACACAATTATTAGAGCTAAATGTGTTAATGGGTTAGTATGTGACATCTTTTCTATGCAAACAGCCATGCAGAACTAGTGAACAAATAGGTTATTTATGAGTACAAGAATTTTTGCATGGGCATGAAGGACGGTCTAAGGATATGTTTCGAATGGAAACAGAGACATTCCATCGATTATGCCCTAAATTGGTTGAACATGATTTACAAAATTCTAAGTACATAGGTGTCCATGAATCTGTTGCCATGTTCTTGAATACAATTGCGCATGGCCAGTGTAATAGGATGATTCAAAAAAGTTTCAGTGTTTAGGAGAAACTGTCAGTCAGCATTTTCATAAAGTGTTGGATCCTTGCCTCAATTTATGTTGAGAAAATATCAAGTCAACTGATCCTATATTTTCCTATTGTTACCCAAAAATAGCCAATGATCTATGATACTTTCCATTTTTTAAGGATGCAATCAAAGCAATTGATGGCACCTATATAAATTGTAAGATTAGTTGAGCTAGGCAAGAAAAATATTTTGGGAGGAAGGATTTCCCAATCAAAATGTTATGGCCGTATGTGATTGGGATATGTGCTTCACGTTCGTGTTGGCGGGCTAGGAAGGTAGTGCACATAATGCTCGTGTTTTTCATTCTGCTATCTTAACTCTATCCATGAATTTTCCTCATCCACCTGAAGGTATATTTCTTTAAATTTCAAATCAATTATTTTTAAATTCTGCTTCAATTGTATTATTTTCACCTCAACATAATTGAGTCATGATTTTCTAGGCAAATATTATTTGGTTGATACTGGTTATCCATCACAAGTGGGATACCTTGGCCCTACAAACATGAGTGCTATCACCTTCCAGACTTTAATTGTCACTTAGGATTTAGAAATGAGAATGAGGCCTTCAATTATTATCATTCAAGTTTGAGATGCACTATGAAAGAACTTTTGGGGTTTGGAAGAATACATTTGTAATCTTAAGAGATATGCCCAAATTCAAGTTTCAAACACAGGTCCGCATAGTTTGTGCAACAATGATTGTCCATAATTTTATCAGGCAAAATTCTCCAACTGATGATCACTTTATACAAGCTGAATATGAAAGTGTAATAGATGAAGACAATAATCATGCACTGGTGAGGCTTCCTCGTCAAGTTTAACATTGCGCAAATGAATCGTATTCATGACTTAATTAGAGACTAAATTATACACAGCTTACGATCTAATTAGTTATGTGATTTTATTTACTTTAATTAGAGACCAAATGAATTTTAATTTATATTCATATTTGTCCATTATATATATTTAACTAATTATCTACAATGTGTTTTCAAAATTTTCTCAATAACAAATATTTTTATTTTATAATTTCACGAATAAACTATTTTTATTTTATCATAATAATTTTAGATATTTTTTTAACTATTATCACATTAAAAACATAAAATATCAAACACTACTATTCAATAAAATCTGTGTCCTTTTCAGTCATTTTACAACTGAACTCATTTTTTTATTTAATTATCTAAACAATTTTTAATTTTTTCAACTGATTTTTTATAAATACTTATCTAAATATAAATCGTATTATACTAATTGATTTTTACTGTAACTTCATTTACAAAAATCAATTAGAATAGAAGTTAGTTTTACCACCACCAATCTAAACACATCCTATATGCCCTTGAGTCATTGGCTCAGAAAGAGAACAAAGGGAAGTATCAATTTGCCATCTGCACTTTTGGCCAAAAAAAAAATTGCCATCTGCACGGTGAATGCCTCATGTATAGTTGATGTCACGGAGTATTGAATGGCTTGTGTACTGTTTATGATGATTTTTAATGATGTATTTGCACGATGTCCAACATTTGACTTTCATGGATCAAATGATCGGTTTGGTGAGTGATGGTTGTTTACACGTAACAATATCTTTGTTTAGATGTCTTGGAAGTACGGAGTCATCGTTAATATTTGAAGACGTCTCATTCGACAGATTTTATGTTTTTAATTTTAGCTATGAGGAGTAAAATTACACTACAAAATATTGGGTGCACCTCAAAAATATTTAAGATTTTAACTCTAATTTTTATTAAAAAAGTTGTATTTTTCCCATCAGTACGGCGACAAGATGTATGGGTCTGACCAAATAATTTAGGATGACAAGAGTACATTTGTTTTATATTTTTAATTAAATAAATGTTCATATATTAGAAAGAAGAGAGGAAACTCGAGATATTCACTTAAGTTGCCGCATTTTGGTTGGAACACAAAAAATTTAATTTACTAAAAGGTTATTATCCCGGCAGATAGCTTAAACGAGAGAACCAAATTGATAATTATTCAACACATCTACCTAATTGTGATTTAGGTTTTATGGATTCGAGGACCATCATGGACCTCAGCTAATAAAATTGCTTAAAAAAATATTTACAATTTAAATACCCATGATACCATCGAATTGGCGACAACATTGTGATTAATGCTTTTGGATGTTACTTTTCTCAACTAAACTAATTTACTGCTGTTCCGATCCTTAATATATGATCTAATTTGGGAGTTAATATCAATATTACATTTAAGACTTATTTTATATGTTTATCAATTTTTTGTCAAATCAACTATATTGATATTTCTTCAACAATAATCAAATAGGAAAAAGATAAGAAGAATTGAGACAAATGTTTAAGATATTTTTTAAAAAAAGTCACATTAATTAATTTAACTAACCAAAGCAGTACATTATAATATTTAGCATAGATATACTATATAGTCAACATGAGAGATATGGTTGAGAAGAAAGACATTCGAGAATCCATCAACATGAGTTTTCAACTATTTTCACCAGAAAAAAGGAAAATAAAAATTTTCAACAAGTCCCTTTCATTTTCTGATGAATAAATTAAAGACAATTCTTTAATAAAAAAAATTTAAAGACAATTCTCCCATTCATTTTCCGATGAATAAATTGAAGACAATTCTTTGACATGAAGGGTTGCCCGGATAGATACAGTTCAAGACACCGGTACTAAACATGCCCATTATTTACCATAGCTACAGGCAACATTGACTTATTAGTAACTTTAATATTATAAAATATTATAGAAGAACAATATCATAGGAGAACCTGTGGTGCAATCATTACATTGCATTTTGTGGACGACAAAAAGTAAGATGATAGCAATCCTGGAGAACGCAGAGGATCAGTTTGAAGATGAAGAGAAGAAAGTTTTCAGGAAGCCACACGTACAGTGAGACTACCAATTCTAGAACTGCTTCTAACATCAATGCTCCTCACAATATTCTTCCTTGTTGTTTCAATGCTGTGTTTCGGAGTGTGCCCAGTTCGCTTCTCTCTACTGTTTGGCCTTGTGGCCTCCTTAAAGCTGCTCTCTGAAACTCTGGTTTTGCCACGCGGCCTTTGCTCGTTCCTTCCTTCTCGGAATCCAGCCGTTTGTCTTGAATCAACGGGACGGCTTTGGTTGGCCATAGGACTTGGAGAGGTCACACTAGCCTCGGAGGATGAGATGCTACGTGGCTTGGCTGATGTTACAGATTCCCAAGCAGCTTGATCATTTCTACTTCTTATCTTTGAATTTGAGGAAACTGCGGCACATTTTGGTTTATTCTGTACTTTCTTGCTTTTGTTTTTATCTGATATAGCCTGATATTCAGAAAGGAGAATCGACAAATGTTAAGATAGTTGAGCTCAAACAGGGAAAGCAGAAAGAGAAAAAAGGGGGGGGGGGGCTACAAAAATTAATTCATAACCAAGCCAGCAAAAGACCGAACCACCTAGCAGGTCCGATCCTTTAGCTGAAGGTTGGTAATCCACGGTTTTACGCTATTTCTTATAGTTAAAGGCCCAACAGGGTGTAAAACTATGGCATGAATATGATGTTTAAATTCAAATCGATGGCAATAAAACATCTGTTACATGTTGAATATTTCATAATAATCATGATTAGCGTACACATGAAAGGCATATTTACTTTAACTTGGGTTGATGTTCGTAAAACATTCCTAACATGTTTTAACTAGTTAGCTTTAGAACAAGGTCAACCAGAAGCCAGTCATCCAAACATTTCACATGCGCGGGTAATTGCAAATTTGCACATCCTCCATATCAGAACATTACTTATCTTTTCCCTTTGTCATTTTCCAACAGCAAAACAACTGTTGGAAAACAACACGTTTTAGTGTAATTTAGCATGTTACGATATTAAATTTACTTTAGCAGAAGATGCTATCATTTTAGGTCCCTTACCTTATTTTGATGATTATATCCTACATTTTAGTACGCTTTTGTTTTGTTTTTTTTTTTTTTTTATTATTATATATTATATATATATTATTATTATATTATAATAAAATTATAATAAATATTTTAGGGTTAATATAATTTTTGGTACCTCAACTTTGCTCTTATTTTAAATTGTAGGTTTTTGATCCCTCAAATTTCTTTAGTCTAAAAGAAGTTTCTCAAATAGAGTATCTTATCTGGCCTTACCTATTGTCTTCTACTGGGGTAATTTCAGTGGCGAGATTTGTTGTTTCCTTTCTTATATATGTTCCTATTTTCATTCAATAAATTTATATTCATAGAAGATCAAGCCCCAATTTCTGCAACAACGAATGATTGCACAGACACACACGTCTACGCGCAGGCACACAAGCCTAGAAAAAGAATTATCAGAAAATAAGAACAAGAATATTAACCCAAGACACAACATCCAGCCAAAGAATGAGATCTATGACAGCCAATACAATTTAGGAATAGAATTATGTTATTGCAATCTCCATTTACCTTATTCACATCTGAATCTGAAGCAGCAGCTGTGCGATAAAAGGAAGGCATAGGTGTCGCTTTAAAGTTAAGACTCTTCTGAGTTTTCTAATCTCTGCTTCTGTCTTTTCCTACAAGAAACAGACGTTGAATCCAATTGGTTTCTTGGAGCTCCATGAAAAACACAATAATAAGCAATTAATAGAAGCAGCAGCGATGTCTGAATTGAACCAGTATAAATAATTGGTAAGAGCCATTTAGGATCCGTTACGCATGTTTCTTTCTCCATTCAGTATTGTTAACCACACCCTTGATCTTCTGACCTTTTGCTATCAGATCTTTCCTCTCATTTTACTTAGATTTGATCCGTATTTCACATGTTACTTAAGACAGTATCCTTTTAAAAAATTATAAGTTTCATAATATAGTTAAACAGAAAATGACGCAATAGATTATAGAATAGTGGGGTATGCCAGGTACAATCATCACATCAGCTCTTTTTCTTGGCAACCACACTGATGTGCCCTTTCCTCCTCCCCTGGAAGTAGATTAAAAAGGCAGAACCATTTCGATTTTGAAGTTCCATAACTTAGAAAACAATATACTGCGCGCATTTACGAGCCATCCACCAGATAACCTGCTATATATTTCTCCTCAAAGAAACAGAAGCTATTATTATTCATTAAGTTATATTACCTTTGATATTGCTTTCATTTGATTCATCTGTACTTCTCTTGCATGCATTTTCTCTTCCAACTTCAGGTAGAACTGATCAGGGGCATGAAAACAAACCAAATAATCATCAACTGTAATTTTTCAAGATCAACATAATTGAACTTTTGAAGTGACAGCCCTATACTTGCCTCTTTCCTCCTTTCTGCTCGTTCACCACTTTTGAAGTTAAAAGCTGCATCCCTTGGCCTAGCCTCAGAGTTCGTTGAACTTGAATGGACAGTTGGGTTCACCCTAAACAACCGTACCATACTAGTCCAGATCAGAAGGAAGGGAAAGAAAAGATTCACCCTTAACATAAGTCAACAAACCTTTTGGCCTCTTGGATTCCTCTAGAATTAGCTTTTAAAACAGAAGGTTGGGATTCTGCAGCCTTTTTTATTGCCAGCACTTTTTCACTACCCACAAAAAAAAAAAAAAGAAAGGAACAAGTATGAGGCCTCAATGAGTGAAATATATATTTTCAGATCTAAGGAACAGTAACTACCTTTTCCGCTCACATGTTGCTTTTCTCTCACTTTTAGGAACCTGCATATAAAGAACCATGTATGCTGTTACTGCATTTTCACTAACATAATCAACATAATCTGAAAATATATAAATAATCATCAACTCATTAATCTTCCATTCTTCCGGAAATACACTGCTGTCATTAACTTCTTACTTCTTTTGGAGTCTTGTTAATTGAATGAGTCATTGGCGTTGCAAGTTTCGATGAATTCTTTCCCACATTGGTTTTCCTTGGACTCTCTCTACTAGAATTTCTTGCCAAGCCCTTGGGTGATCTAGCCGAACTCTTTGTCCGGACTTGAACAGTTGTGGCTACAGAGCTCAACCCATGCTCTGGCTTTGTTTCCTATGCATCAGTCCACCAAAGTCATAGGACAACAGATTATATCAGGCATATTTAAATAACTGCAGAATATGAACAATGCAGAAGAAAATACAGACTGAAACAGCTCCGTATTTAAGAAAACAAAATTTAAGAGAGCACGAACACGAGTGTGCAAGCACATATATCCAATACTGTTATTGTAGAAATGAGTAATCCTGATGTACTGGATTAATAGTGTTTTAACTATATTATTATTTCTTTTCTAGAGTTTACATTTTAAAAAAAAAAATTAAACATCACTGAGGAGAAGCATACCTTGGGAGAGGGACTTGGAGGATCATTCATAGCTGCTTGCTCAACGCCTCTAGTTGGTTCAGTCGCATTCATGGTTCTTAATGATTCATCATTATTTACAGTATCATCATGGTCCCTTTTCACTTCTACAACCGTTGTGTCATCAGCTGATATTGTGCTGCTTGTCTCATTTTCAGGTTTTGGAGCTTCATCCAAAATTCTGGTATTATCAATAGCATCCTCCAAAACATCATAATTGTTTATAGCGAATTCCATATGCTGGTTAGATGATGAAACTCTTGGTCCTTCTGTGACCAAATCTTCCTTTTCATATCCAGTCTCTCCATTCCCTCCATTAGGATCTGAACCAGCTGGTCCTTCATCAAATAGAATACGATCGCCATCTTCATCTGGCCCAAAATCCTCAAAAGATCTTTGTTCATATTGATCATAATGGTCATCTACAATTGGCTCAAAATCTTCCAATGATCTTTGATCAAATTGAACAAACTGGTCATCTTCAATTGGTTCAAAATCCTCTTGGAGTCTTCGATCAAAATGAACACCATGAACATTTTCATTTGACTCAAAATCCTCTTGGTTGCTAATTCTCTCTGAACCGTCATTTTCACTGGTTGTTTGATCAGACCCATCCTGACTCACGGGTATATTGAAACCTAAAAGGCCCTTCTTCTTGAAATGAGCTTCAAAATATGCTTTCTTCTCAATAACTGAACCTGGTTTTGAACATTTCTCAACCTCTTCCAAGTACCTATTGTGAGAGAATGAGGACCTTCTTTCCCAAGATAAAGGTTCATTTTCAAATCTCCCAAACGAGATGGAGCCTGAATGTATAGAATCTGCCTGCATGGTTTGCAATGAAGCAGAGAACCGGCAGCCAGAGAAGATATTAACACAACACGATTGAGGCAATTCTCATGATAAACTAGGTGTAAAACGGAAAGGGGACTAGATAAGCACAATAATTTGGTCCATGAAAAAATGATGTGAAGACAAAGATAACGGAAGCACCATATCATACAAAGACTGCAAGTCCACGTTTTACAATATTGCAGTTTTCCTCCTCTACGCACTTGTATATTTAACATTTTCCGTTGTACTATTTCAACATCACCAGAACAGCAATCTATATGGTCAAATAATACTTTGATGTGGATCGCTAGGTCAGAAAAATGAATATTTTGGCGAGATGCCATCATACAATATGAATCAGAAAAGAAGAGAAATTAAGCATATCAGAGTAAGGCCCATGATGGTAAACTAGTATGCTAAAGCAATCCACAGCAGTCAATCACTGTTTTTTAATTTTGACAAACTTGTAACATGAGCTAATAATTTAGATCAGTTCCGCACTGCAGCCGAAATAGAACACATATAATCATTAACCAACTTTACTCACAGCAAATGAAAGCACTGATTGCCCAATCACCGCGTAAGGAAAAAGACGTCGGTGGCATCTTTTGAAACCTTAAAATATTCAAGTCTTCCCCCTCCATTTATGGATTAAATTGAGTATTGAAAAAAAGTTGTCGCACTCTAAAGCAAACAAAAGTCGAAAGAAGACGAAAGAAACTCATCATTGTGTTGGTATAAGGAAAAGCCGCAAAACGATCCATAGTTAGATCGTCAATAGGAGAGTGAAAACAGAGGAAAAAAACATAACAATAACCTGAAAGTTAAAGCTGAACGTTTCTTCAATCTCCCCAGCCATAATTCTCACTTTATAAATCACCAGCCATAAGCAGAATCAACAAGACGGCCAAATCACGTTCCTTGTCCTAATATGAAGCCCACCAAGACAATCTCGTCACTGAAATTATCCAAAAGCACATATATTACAAACTCGTACTTCAAAAGCAGGAATGGCACACAAAAATCATCCAAAGAACCGACACGCATTTACAAAAAGAAAGTGACCCCAAGTATAAAAATTCAGCGCAAAGAAGCACAACCTCGAAGCGAATTCCAATTCCAGTAGTAGCTTCAGTTCGGAATCTAAAGGGATTCAGGAGGCAGAAAGCCGGAGGGCAAATAAGGTAGCTACTTGACAGCAGATCTTTTAGCTCGAGCTCGCAAGAAGGTTCTTGTTTCTGTTGGTGTTTAATATGAAACTCATAAATCTGAATCAAGTACTGGAAAGGGATAATACAATATAGTAATCCACAATCATGTGCCGGTTGTCTTCTTTTGTCTTGTAACGCTCAGACAGTGGTGAAATTGCTGTGTTTCACGCAAAGTCTAATCTCGTGCCCCCACAAACGGATCGTTAACGCAACGTTAAGCTAAGCAGAGGCTGTGTGTTACAGAATGAGCATATGTGAGGGAACTAACTTGCTGTTCTTGAGGCGGAGGAAAACCAGAGGGAGAAGGAAGGCATTGCAATGTGGTGGTCGCGCGTGCATCCGCGTGTTGGCTTCATTGCTTGATACCTGTATTTATTGTAAACCAGAATCAGAATCCTGTTGAGTAAAGGCAGAGAAAAGAAAACGGAGGGAAAAGAAAAAGAAAACCCGGGAGAGAGAGAGAGAGAGAACTACCTCATTTTCATATTTGATAACGATCTGACTCTGTTTGTAAAATACTTTCACTGTATTTGATAGAGATTAAGAAAAACTGAAAAACCTTAAACTATATTAACTCTGTTTTAAAAGTAATAATTTTTTAATTTTACCTTATATAATACTCTTTCAGTTTTATTTATAAGTCACTTCTATCATATTTTACACAAACTAAAAAAAATCTTAAACTTTATTAACACTTATTTAAAATTCAACAACTTTTCAATTTTATCCCTATTTAATATATATTATACCTTATGTAAACAAAGTTAGCATAATAATAAATGAGGAGTAAAATTGTATATCCATACAAAAAATTTCTCTTAGTATCTTATAAATAAGACTAAAAAATATCTTTTATTTTTATCTTATAAATAAAATCAGAAGAGTATATTTAAAAAGTGTTCAGTGATTTGGAGACGGAAATTTATCAAAATCAGCAAAACTTTAGCTTAAGTAGAATCCATGACGTAGTTCACTTTAGATGTACTTCATTATTTTATTAGTTGTTCAAATACAAAATCTTTGATTTGAGTCTTATGAATGAAAAAAAATAAAAAATGGCCTTCAATTAGGCTTCACAAATACTTGGATATAACCTATCAATTAGTCATGTACAAAAAAAATTTGCTGAGGTGAGACAGGGAAAGAGGAGGGTTTAAATCCTTCAAACATTTTAAAATATAAGGATAATTAATATGTAAATTCTTATAATTTTAATCAATATTTAATTAGGTTTTTATAATTTTTTTTCCTTTTTATCATGTTCTTATAGTTTGATCTTATTCTTAATTAGGTCCTGAAAATATTTTATTGGTTGGTTCAAAAACTATAATAGTTGGTATGATAGAGATGAGAAATTAATAAAACTTGAGTTCTAAATGAAGTTAAAATCTTACAGATATGTTTATAATATAATGAATTCAAACTTTCAAAGTCAGCCCATCATTGTTGACTCGAGAGATGTTACAATTTACCTTCCAATGCCATTATCTTTCCTTTAAAAGATTTTTTTCCTTAAAAAAATATTTTTAATAATACTCTTGTTAGATGAAACTTGGAAGGCTTTAAATGAATGTAGTTCCTATTTAAAATAGGGCAGTATTAAATAAAAAACTAAAAAATAAAAATCTTACACAATATGTAAACTTTTTCCTTAATTTATGTTGCTTTTTTCTATAAAAAAAATAAGTAAATAATGCAATCATAGAGCTTGTTGCTCTGTCCTCTTCCAACAAATTAATGAATTTATTTTTTATGTTACTTTGATGTGCTTGTTTGGTAAGGTATCCCCTTTAATACCTCATCAATCATTATAATCCAAATGCTACTTCTCACTTCATTTTTTCTCCAGTGACATGTTTTTTATAGTTTAAATGTAAAAAATTGAAAAATAATAGTTGAGTCAAATAAAATAAATTATTATTTTTAATTTATTTAAATTTTCATTTGCATAAAGAGTGAAAAGTAAGGCATCAAGTTTAAATTTTTCTTATAAAAAAAATAATTACGTTGAGAAACCTTTCTGCCATTTAGGGTCAAATGCAGCTAAAAAGTGGAACCTCACAAAAATGCATAAGGATCCCATAAATTTGTCTAAAAGTCTCTATATTTCTTTTTATGAAAATTAAGCATCATTTCGAATAAATCTTAATACTAACAAGAAATTTAATAAAATTTTATCCTTTTAGTTTATATAAATTAACTAAATACATCGTAAAAGAAAATTTGACCTGAAATTTTTCACCCAAAAAAAATCCAAAGAAACAAATTCATATAATAACGAATTAAATGGGTATTTGATAACATAGAAAAGTACTTTTTTAAAACAAATTTTCATAAAATGAGACAAATTCCTTTACATATTTACTTTGTATACTATAAAAATACTTTTAAAATCATGATTTGGTCTATCGAAACACTCTTAAATCAATGTCATTTTTGTGTGTGGATACATGCATGAGTATGACCCCTTGAAGAATTAAATTTTTATTTAGGGTATGGTAAGAAAGAGGAATAAATATATAATTTAATAAATTTATGAAGCTGTTTCAGTCACAGAAAGCCACCGCAATTTTTAGTGTGTTCCCATGGAAGAAAAAGCACAGAAATTAAGAGAATCACTAGAAAGTAGGATTTGTAGTTGTGGGGGACCCCAAAACTTTTTGTGCATATCATAGCACTTCCCATCCAAGGAACAATGCCCCCCCTCCCCAAATTTGGATCCATATTTCTATTTTTTTTATTTATTTAGAATGTCTCGTACTGACGGCAAGTGATTGTAAGCGGATCAAACTTATAATTTTATACTAAGTTTTCATGTCACTAAATTATAAGATGATTGGCAAGTCGATGTTTTCACTACAAATTTAGGCAGCCTCACCTCCCCCTCTTCTCCTCACCTCACCTTTGTTATTAAATAAAAGAATAAATGGTCAAAAGTCAGTATTTTATTTTTATTGTGAACTCTGAGGATCAAATTTTATTTATTTATTTTTTTAAGATAATATTATAATAATTTTATAAAATATTAAATCTCGGCTATTTATTTTTATCTAATAATAGGAAAGATATGAATAAAAAAAAAGAAGAGGAGGAGAAATGTCAGGAAAAGTCCTACACAACAAGAAGTCAACAGTTGCTATTATTATTACTACTTCCGATGCTTAATATAAAAAATAATTTAACTTTTAATTTAATTTTAAATATGAGATCTCAATTCATTTTATCTCTTATATTTATCTATTTTTTCCTAAATAGCTTTTGTAGTAGTTGTACATGTTAAGAATTTCATCAAATGATAATTCTAGCCAATACAAGTGATTAGTAAAGATATTCTAAAAAAAATAACCCATATTTATTATAAATAACTAACTTAACAAACTTTCTTAATCTACTTAAATTAATTAATTAATTTTTATACTAATAACTGGAAATTGTAATATTATCATTAGGCAGTACTACGTTCTCTTTTAAGTATAAAACCTTATTTATCGACTGTAAACGAGATTTTATAATTATGATAGGGGGTATTACCATTATTATTGGAGTCAAAAAAAAAACGAGGAAAGAAGTGGTGATAGAGACAAACAAGGGAGCTGTGACTGCACGTGATTGGGCCGGGCTTGTCTCACTGAGTCCACCTGGGGTCCACCAGGGGGCCTCAATCGAACACTTCCCGATTCTCACGGCCTTGCAGATAGTGACGCCAAGTAATCTCATTGGCTGAACCCGCGGAACTTGGTGCTAATGCCTCGAATAATATTATTTTAAATAAGAAAAAGTCTGAAATTATTTACACAGTAATTTTAGACTTTCATAAAATATTTTAAATACATTTTTTCCTCAATTTACTGATATTTTTAACTGATAAAATTATGAGTTGCTTATTATGATCGATACGTTAGATTGGCAGGCACTTCGTCATCATTTGAATTTGTTTTGTTGATATTCCTAGGTTAAAAAAAATTTAACGATATTAAAATTTAAAAATAAAATTAAAAATTTGCGTGAATTAAGAATATAAGAGTAACATTTTTCCTATAATGTAAATTGTAAGTGCTGAGGAATTATTCTTGATTAACTCTGTAATTCATTTTTAGATTATATACAGTGCAGCACAAACGCAAGTTATTTGTACTTTTTTCTGTCTTATTATAAGTTATTTTAACTATCCCACACGTACTAAAGACTACAGTTAAAAATAATTTATAATTTTACATTTCTCAAAAATTACCACAATTTCTTAGGAATACCCATAGTTTTAAATTCATTAAATTGTAATATTATAAGAGAAATGAGTGCTAAAAAATATATTTTGTATTTTGAGAGAAATAGGTGTAATACTTGTTCAATTGTTTATTTAAAACTAGTTGAAATTTATCTTATCTGTTCGCACAAAATGATTCTATTCTACTTAATTCAATTTCCTATTTTAGAACCCAAGTTCTAAATATTGGGTAAAAACATACTTGTTCTGTATGTATACAGTATACTATTGGTTAATTGTTACTTATACAAATGAGATGTAATTATATCATTTGAGTTGACTTGATCAAGAGAAGGCGCACAAATGAACGTGGTTATGATTAAAAATGATTGAACTGTACAATAAAAAAAATTCTAATTTCAAATTGCAAGTTGAAATATTGTATTCTAAACCCTTTTAACATAACCTTAAATTTTAAATATTGCATATTATCCATGCAATTTACAAATGTCTCCAAATAAAATACTAGTATATATATTGGAGGAAACTATGTTTGTCAAAGACAATGATCCCGTCAATAAAAAGAAGAAGACACCTTGCGGTGTCCTACCCATGTGGCATCACACACGTAGTCAATGATCTCTTTTATATATATATATATATATATATATATATATAAATGTATGGGTATTGAAAAACTTATATTAAGTTGCTTATATCTATTATATTTTTTTTTTGGATTACTCCATCCGGTATCCCAGGGAAATAGGCGTCTTTCAGCCGTGACAACGTCCCCAGACTAATCCGGATTCGGGGGCTTGCAAGGATCCATACGGACGGCGCCCCCTGACCCTTTGGAGTGCTGCGTTCCCACGTCTCGAACCTAAGATCCGTGGTTAAGCTAGGACGACCCCAGCCAGTCGACCTAACCCCGCGGGGTTACTTATATCTATTATATTAATTCCTCCAATAACACTTTGCATAATTTGCCATAATTAGTTGTTAAAATATGTATGTCCACTTGTATATTCACATACGAATACTTGTAAATTTTTATACAAGTTCATATGACATAAATTAGGATTTGTGAACGTTTGCATGAGAATTATTAAATATGCGTACTTACAAATTTATTTATAAAACAAGACCACTTGTTATTTTGTTTTTGTTAGTTGTTAAATTACGATGTGTACTTATAAATTCACCTACAAAATTTAGCCTAATAGATGTAACTTGACCTAAATTTTGTTTATATATGTTGATGATAGGGGTTAAATGAAGAGTAGACACAAGTATTTCAATATAATATACATATATCTATAAGAAATTGATCAATAATTTTGAAGAGGAAAGTGGGTCCATGAAGTAATTAAGAAACAAAATAAGAAGGTCCCACATCCTTCATATTTCTTCATTGACTGAGAGCTCTCTTTCTTTGCCTCTATCTCTATCTCATGTGATTCCATGTGTTCTGGCCTACAGCTACGTGTTTCTCTCTTCGTGTATATCCATATTATTTTATACTTTTGAATCCTGCGTATATAAAAATATCAACATCCAAACCTTACATTTTCCGAATATATATATTTATATTTATATATAGTACCAAACACCCATACATTTTAATAAGGAAATTCGTGTGCTGGCAAAATAGGCTTTGTCACCTTGTTCAAAAAAAAGAAGAAGAGGAATTTAATAGGATATCATTAATGCATGCACAATTAGTATATAGTAAAGTAAGCCACTTTGGTTTATTTTTGTTATATATGAACAAAACTGATGAGTTGTTGCTCAATTAATCCCATTTTACCCAACATTTGCAACATTAATACATGGCCCATTTATGGATCTACAGTTCAATTCATTGAAACTCTTATGGCAAACAATGTTTGATGATGAGTAAAATAAACACCAAGTTCTACCAAGGGTGAGAATTTCATTCATTCGTTTCTTGCTTTTACACCAAAATTGACTCCAGAAGAAAATTTGATGCAGTGATGAAGGGATGAAAAGGAAATGGTTAGAATGAATGAATTAGCGGGTGGAGAGAGTTTTTTTAAAGATGGAAGCTTTGGTGATTTCTCGGAGAGGTTTGTTAGTAAAACGAATGAGGCTGTAGGCAAAGCCACCAAAAATGGTGCCAATGAAAGGGCCAGCTATGTACACCCATATTGACTCATATCTGTTCATCACTATTGCTGGTCCAATACTTCTTGCTGGGTTCATTGATGCTCCTGACACTGGCCTGCAACCAAAAGCCATTCTTCCATTTCACTTCAATCTATCAATTGCTTATCCTCCTTTAATATAAGAATTAGTTAACTAATTTGAATAAATAAATAAAAAACTGATGAGAAGGACCTGATAAATTATTATACACGAAATATTGGTACTCTGCAAATTTTGTGCATGTTGAGTATCGGTACTCTGATTCAGGTTCTTATCACCAATAAAATTTTTAATGGGGACTTTTCTCTAATTTTCCCAGAACAAAATTTGGCCAGGTCATTAAAAATCATAATGATATCCATCATATATTTGGTAAACAAATCTGTCTGCACTGATGTTACTAGCTTGTTGAAAGATATGATTAATAAGGGTGATAGTCCGATCATGCATGCATGATAAGTTCTTTGATTTTAAATGCATAAATCTGTAGTGTTCATCTGTGCCTACATTATTACTATGAATCATGTGTACACAGATAGATAAATAGGGTTTATCTAAATCCATAACAAGTCCTATCATGCGCGAGTTCTATGAATTATGAAATATGAACAAATCAAATTCAATAAAAACTTAGATCATTTTGTCTCTTGGGAAACCAAAACCTATAATTTGAAATTTGAAGAATCAAAACCAAAATGAGGGCAAACTTGAAGTGCAAAAACTGTATTAACCCAAAAAACATATGTTGTTTTCTAATGAAATAATAGTTAGATTAAAAATTACCCAGCAATGAAGACATCTACAGCAATGGTCATGCCAACTGCAATTCCTGCCAATTCTCCGATCTGGTAATAAATCAAAGCAGAAAGTATTAATTAACTGAAGGTATTATTCCTGAAACATTAAAAACAAAAACAGTGAATTAGTGACATAATTTAACGACAAAATTTGTAAATTCCATCGTTAATTTGAAGTGGAATTAAGAGACGAACAGCTCTGGTATCAGTGGCAACAGCAGAAACGACGAACATCAACAAGAATGAAGTAATGATCTCCATTACAAGTGACTGAACATTTGATCCTGACGGCAACGTCCCAAAATACGACTTATCGTCCACCTCGAACAACATGTACAACGTTCCACTCGCCAGTATGGATCCCACCACCTGTGCTATTATGTACAGTGGTACATGTCTCCAAGGAAACTGCCGGAACATGGTGAACGTCACGGTCACAGCCGGATTAAAGTGGCCGCCGGAGATGTGCCCCACCGCGTAAACCATTATCATCACCGTCAAACCCCAAACTATACACACCCCAGGAAATGTGACCCTCCCATCTAACACATTCAGAACCACTGAACAACACCCCGCAAATACCACCATGTATGTCCCTATTACCTCTGCAATTACCTGAGGTACGAGAAATTAATGTCACAATTTGTGATCGATATTGATGAAATTAATGTAACAAGTTCATGCATGTAACTCTCTCCATATATATATATATATAGAGAGAGAGAGAGACACCTTTTGTATGATTTGAACTGTGGAAGTAGAACCACAAAAACCAGATCCTCTTGAGGCTTTATTTTCACCTTCCTCCATATTTGCGATATCCTCATCATCGTTACTGCTAGGCATCTTCTTTTTGCTTTTTTGTTTCTCTTTCTCTTCTCTTTTGTTTTACTTTTGCCCTTTTTTCTGTGCCTTTTGCTCCTTTTAGGGTTTCTTTTTTGATAGGAACCTGATGAGTTAGAATGCCAAATCTTAGATCAGAAAACGTATGTGTTTTGGGTAGATTTGACTGTACTGATTTTGCTATTAATTTTGTGGGACAATTAGTGAACTTGATACGAAATTTGAGCCTTTGGACTCAGTTAATGGCCACAATGTCCCTATTTTCCAGCTCCTATCTGTACATATATATTGGGAATAGGATTAATTACATGCATTTTGCTTTCTTTAGTTTTCAATTAATACACATAATTTATATAATACAAAAATTTATATTATATTTTGGTGTAATATAATTTAAATTTTTAGTTTAAAAAAACTCTTCGTTAACTATATTATGGAGAGTATTTAAGACCAAACATTGGTGACGCATTAATTTTCTTTTTTTCTTTTTTTTTTTCAGCACATGCGTGTGTGCAACTCACTTATTTCTAATACGGACAATGACTGGCAGAGATCCTAAGCGTGATGTTGATGACCCATCAGGGCCTTAGTTATAGGTCCAAAAATTGTATTTGGGCCGGGCCCAATCTATCATTCTGGTGAAATGGGTCGTGGTGCCAAATACCACAACTCCCAATGCTTCAAGAGTGGCTTTTGATGATTTAATTATCAGTGCCTTTGTTTACTTTTGTAATTACATGGAATAGGTTTAGAATGATCAGTAGCTTCTTTTATATTTGAACGAGTTTTTAATGCATTAAATAGAGCCAGAGGAATAAGTCGAATATTTGTGGCTTGTAAATTGTATGTTACATTTACATATACTTTCAATTTTATTTTATTTTTTGCCAACAATTTTTTTTGAGTATAATTCAGAGTATCTTCAAGTCACTTTGGGTTTAAGACTAATCTTTGTTGGTTTCCGGGATTCGAACTTATGTTTTCCTTTTTATATGGGTAAGACTGCTTACCATCTTAACTAACAGCTTATTATATATGATATATTGATTGTTGATAACTTGCATTTTTAATTTGCTAGCATTATATATTAGAGGACTTAACTAAGATGAAAGGAAGTATTAATTTAAGCGTGGATGTATTAATTGGAGGAAGACTAGGTGCCATATTATATTGGAGACTAAGTTCAATTTGGAAACCTGCAATTCCAATCAATATAGGACAAAAGAAAACGAAAAATGGTTAATATAATGATAAGATGTGAACTCGACTCATGATTCCCTCTGTTTGCTGCCACTTTCCCTTTAAATGTATAAATATAAGATAGTCAATTTATTTAGGAGAATAATGCATGATTCATTTGTACGATTCTCAGGAGAAAAATAATAATGATTGTTTCAAAAAAATTATTATTTTGAGACTAATAATATTAATGTTAGATGACTGAAAATATATATTGTAAAATTAAGAGATTAAACTGAGATGTTGAAATATTTTGTATAAAAGGTGAATAATCTTTTCAAGAAGAATGGCATTAGTACTAGGAAGGATCTGAATTCAAGAAGAGAAGACAAATCAAAGTAATTAAGAAACAATAAAGAGTCTATCATTATTAAGCATCCATGTATATATAATATGTTCCCACTTCATAAGATGGTGTCAGTTTTATCTTAACCATTTTCTTTGTAGATGAAAAAAGTTTTATTTCAACTTTCATAAAAACACTTTTAAAATACTCATGGGATTGAACTTGACCAAACTTTCCTTAAATTCAAATCCTGCAAAGCATGGATTGGAAACTAGAACTTGTTCTTCTGTAAAGAATACTACTGAATCAAATTTTAGAAGTATATTAATGGCCCATTTAAAATGGTATATAAGCAGCTTTTTAAAATATGATGTCAGTATGTAAGAGAAATTTTACCTTAACTTACGTGAAACGTGCTTATAATTGTACTTCCAAACAAGCCCTAAATAATTCACCAATAATCGTACATCACATGTAGTATGTGCAGTCGCGTTTTTTGAATCACGCCAGTTAAGTTCACAGAGACGATGGATTATTTCACACGACAGAGTCAAACACGCAAAAGCCATTACATTCATGAACCACCACCAAACTCTAACATATCATCAAAGTCTGGTATGAAGAAGCTGGGAAATAAAAGTGCTGAGACAAAAATGAGGTAATAATCCAAGGCACACGAGTTAACAATATATAGTCAAGATTCATTGACACTTGATGTGTCTAAATCAGCAATGAACAGGAAGAATCTAGTCTAAATCTAATCTGAGTTGCGAAAAAGAGATCAGAAAGTAAGGAAAAAAAATGTTTGGTTCATGTGTAAAAGCAAGTTGGGGACGACGTTGTTTCATTAATTATTTTGGATGGTCCTTTGTGAGATTATTGTGTGGTGGCTCAGCCTTATTATATGGTCCCAGCCACCTCCACCACCGTGGTGGGCCTCCTCCTGTCCGTGGTTCCCCCTACAACCACCATCACCTTTCTCCCTCTTCTTTTATTGCGTTTTGTTTTAGCATCAACACAATTAGGGTTTGTAACACTTTGAATTTGCCCCAAACTCGAGTCTTTTTTTCAAAGGAAAAAAAAAAAGGCGTGTTGGTCTTAATGAAAGGAACTTTTTTGTCCATTAAAAAAAAAAAGAGGTCTCAAGTGCAAATACGCATAAATGCAAAAAACTTCCCGATTAAATTTGGATGACAATGCTCGAATCTGACTCACTTAGGTAGTTACATAAAAAAAGAGTATTTTCTTTCTTAAAGAAATTACAGAGTCATTAATTTTTTTTTTTCAAAGCTTAGACGAGATAGATTGGTTTGTCTCAAATTTTGTGTAAAACATGAGATTTATAATAAAGTGCATTTGTAAATAATACTCCCTCCGGTATAAAATTTGAGCTAAATTTTATCCATTACGTTTGTCAAGAAACTAATTAAAATCAATTTAAAATAATAAATGTGTAAGGCATATATTTATTTTTCCTCATATACCCTTATTAATGAAGAGAATATGTAAAAGATGTAATTAATGAATTAAAGAGAAAAGAGAATATATGAGGGTAAAATTGAAAAAAACACTCATTAAATATTTGGACAAAAGTGAATGTTATCTTATAAAAAACTAACTTTTTAAAGAAAGTTTAGTTTATAATTTGAACCGAAAGGAGTATTAATATCAGGGCACCAGAATGAAATTGAAGGTTGAATTAGAGGATTGGCCTCGCAAGTAGGGTACACAAATTTAATACTGAAAGGGATTTTGTTTATTGATCTTGGAGTGCTTTTGGCGTACTTTGAATGGATTGGAGGCCACTGAAAATGATCAGAAGCTTTGATCTCATCAATGTTACATCTTCAAGATAATAAGGCTACGCACACAAGTCTAATACCATATGTTTCTATATAAAAAATACCCCATCAAATTATTTCTTTTTTGCTGTTATATACTGCTTCTAGTCCTAATTATAAGACCTGATTTATAGTTTGTAAATGAGGTCTTATGATCAGAACTGGAGGTAGTATATTAATTTTTATTAGATTACTCATTTCAAAAGCTATATTTGTGTGTCAATAGTCTTGTAACCTATTAGCATGAATGTTCTCTTCTAAGTGAAAAGTTACGAGTTGAATCCCACTTGTAATAATTTTAAGTTGCTAATACTTGTCTCTCTAATTAAAAAAAAAAAAAGCTATATATATATTAAATATCAATTAATTCGAGTTAAACTATAAAAATTTATAAGGAGAATAAAACCTTTTTACCCTAAAAATAGAACGAAGTTGGCGTATTTGACAAAAAAAAATTTGTAAAAATAAGACCCAATATTGTTCGCAGCTTGCACCTTGCAGCCAGTGCAGCTCCCCTTGTGCACTTTTTTCTTAGATATTTTTTTATTACCCGGAGTATCTTCCCACGCGAACGGTAAGAAACTAATCTCTTATGGTACTATCAAGCGGCGTAGTGAGAACCCTTCCCAACAGTGTTTTCTCCCATACACACTGTCCCAAGGATCGAATTCATGACATGATGTTTAAGGTGTTCAAGTTCCTTCCACCAACTTTTATTTAGATATTTTATTTATGAGGTACAAAGATTACAAATTTTGGGTGTTTTTTTTGAATTCTCACCAAAAAGGACTCGAGCTGGTGGACCCAACTTTAAAAGCGGGCCTTCTGGTGACCCCGCCCAAATCAATCGTATATCTGTTCCATTTGATCTGCCGCCACAAAATGCAAATCAGGGTGGCTTTTCCTCGACCCGAAGTGGATCCTGTCATATTTACCGGAAAGATGACCCTCGTTTTGGGTTTAAATGATGTAATCTCACAATCCATAAAAGCCACGTCACCTAATCAATTGGTTTATATTTGCATGAGTCCATACTAGAACCAAACCCGTATCACCCCATTCACAACTAATTATTCATATTCATTTACTTCAATTTTGAAAATAAAAGCCACTTGAATAATTTGAATAAATTAAGAAAGGCAAATAAATTAGTTAATTATAACAAACACTGCCTAATCCTCCTAAAATACCTTTTTATAATATATTAGATTATATATTTATAACTTGTTTATGAATTCGTAACTTAGTTTGACAGATCTTATATTCAGAATCGAATTCAGTACATGCTGAATTCTGTATTAAAATCAAAGGGAGCATATCATTGGGAGGAAAAACCAAAAGTCACATGAATGGCAGAGTTAGGGGGGCGAGAGACTTAAGGACAGACCAAAATGGTAGGACCTTATGAATGGTTCATTCATATGACTAGTGAGTGGGAAATTGGGGGTCCATTTTCCTTTCTGAATTCAAAGGAACACCAAACTAAACCATACATATTATTAGTATGGTACCTTCAAAGTCTTCATCGCCCATTGAATTTTGCACCATATTTCATTCTCACTTGCAGTGGTGGAGCCAACACACTATGTAAGGCAACTGAATTGAAAAATCAATAATAAAAAATATAATGATTTAAAAATATAATCACATTATTA